TCTTAAATTAGATTTAGTAGTTATCCTCAATAGCTCAAACATAATTAATATGCAGCTAAATATGAAGTTTGGTTGTTGCTCTTCCCTTAGAGCAGGGGCTGATCATTCATCTAATTCATATGACTGAAAACTTACTGTTGCTTTTTGAGATCTGAAAAAACCTTGCTTACCTGGTTTGTCTGTAGCTGCCCAGTATACTGGCCATAAATCGCTTGCCCAGAGAAAATGAAATAAATGGGTTTCAGTTGTCCATCTCTACTGGAAAATGAGGCATTCAGAATCCACTGTAAATTGTATTGACAAAAATATGTTTTACAATGAGTTTTTAACACCTAGCCCAAACATTTCCACTCCAGATGGCCAGAGGGCACCTCCACCTAAGTTTTGAAATTCTTCTTTGGTTGTCACTCAGACTTCCTGGTGAACTGCTATAAAAAGGACATGGACTTTTTTATAAATGCAAAGCCTTACAGTTTGCCCCACATTCTTGTAAGTTTTGAGCCATGTTTTCTGGGTTAGCCTTTTGTGTATGACCTGTTTTGTGATACTTGCCTTTTGCCTAGCACTTTCCTGATTTTGACACCAATCTCATCTTCTGTTTTTTGAACTAGGCTCTGCCCCTGTGTTTGCTCTTTGGCTTGTGATTGTGGATTTGTCTACCTTCTTGATGTTTTTGGTAATAACCGTGGAATTTTTTTTACTGCATTTCAGTTTAGTAAACTCATTTTCATATGGATTCTTATTCTGTACCTGAGGCCTTTGTTACAGAAGGCTTTGCCTGACAAATTGGATCCAACAAGAGTGAGCGAGCTTCAATCAACTGTTGTGTCTCAAGGCCAACTCCTGGGAAACCATGAATAATATCACCAACAGATGGCTTCAGCCATTGAGGAAATGCTCTCCGACAGCAGAGAGGGAGTGCCATATCTGGGTGTTCACAAGCAGTGCCGCATCTGGGTGTTCACGGGGAGTAACATGGCAGCCTCTGGCAATCAGGAAGTGGCTTCCCAATGCATCCCTTCAACCTTGACTGAGAAATATAATGGCTCAATGGGTAAATGCAAAGGCTGCTTTCACTACTATAAGGAAATCATCTGCAGCCAGCTATGCATTAACCTTCTGCACCATCACAGTGGAGAGTGGGTGGAATAAGCCAGCATGAAAATCTGTGTTCAGACAAGGCCCCAGTGATGCACTACAGACAGAACTAGCATACCAGCACAACAGGCTGTGTCTCAACCAATTCACTGAACTGGTTATATGCGCCGATAAGCTGCTCAGATCTCGCCAACCGCGCAGCCCTTGAACCAACTTCATCCCTCAACCATTATCAGCTCCTGCTGCCGAATCCATGGAAGTTGTAAAAGTCTGTAATGTCTGTAACATGGTAACAAGGTTCATTCGCAACTTGCAACTCTAAACAGGTGAGCCTCAAAATTATGCTTGAAAGCAAACAAATTATGTTACCTGTTTCATTATCATGGTGGTCTGAAATGCATGTTTTCCCAGCCCTCTCAGACTCTGGAGCAGCAGGAAATTTTTATGGATGAAACTGTGGCCAAAATGTTAAATGGGTTACTGAGCATAAGGTCAGGGGTTCAAGCCCCAGCATTGCCAATCTTCCACTGTTTGGCCCTTGAGCAAGGCCCTTAACCCTCTCTGCTTGAAAGGTGACATATCATGGCTGACCCTGCGCTCTGACCCCGACTTCCTTACAGGCTGAGATATGTGAAGAAAAGAATTTCACCACAGTAACACAAGATGGTGGCCTAGTAGCATGCAGCAACCACTTTGGGTCCGGAAATATGGTGCATGTTAGACCATACTAATTAGGAACCTTTTACCAGGGATGTGCATCGGAAGCACTGGTGAACATGTCTATCATTGCCAACTTTTACTGAACATTGGAAAACAAAGTTCAGGAGACTTAAACAACGGACTGCGGGAAGGGCTATGCAACCTCAGGCTGCTACAAGAACCATGCCCCAAGACCATGGTATTTGGATCTGTTCACCTGTTCTAATAAAGTCTGCCTGCACCTGCAACCATCTCTACCACCAGACATGGCAAAAGAATTTTGGTCTGAAAGGTTATAGATCAGAATAGATAGATCATGGCTTCCTAAAATACCTGCAAGAAAAAGAAAAGAAAATCTCAGTGACCCCTCAACAATGATTTATTTTGCAAAATTCCAGTAGACATTATTTTCTTGTTCTAAAAATACTGGGACTTAAGTTCAACATCCTACTACTTTTGTAAGAGCTGGCATAATCTGTCCTACATTCTTTGAGAAAATTCAAGATTCGAAAGATATAGAGTATGATGTTTTTCCTTTTGAATTGTACAAAGAGGGAGAGATACATATATTTATTGCATATACACTATTATTACATCAAGGCTCAAGTCACACCATGTTATACAATTTATTGAGCTTTAGAGTTATGCCAAATAAAACAGTGAGGGCACAGGGTAAAACAAACCAAATTCCCTAACCTTGCCTAAGCAAATTCATTAATTTCTGCTGCAATGTTGTTTGGGTAATAGCTTAGCATGGCCACTAGACTGATCAATATATGAAGAGGAGGGAATTGTGACTGTGGTGGCTGAAAATGTAAGCAGCTCTGACCCACTTACTGAGTGTGGCTAGGAACAGGGTAGTATGATAATAAATGTCTGGACAGACTTTATCCCAGGACGGTACAGGGTAAATGTTGGCAGGTGCGCCTTCAACAGGCAGTGAAATCATGGCCTAGAGTAATTTCTGATTGGCACTTAATGAGCAAATGCCACCAGTATCTACAATCTCATGGCATGGATAATGAAATTACAAATGGCTTCCTGAAAACATCAAAGTTATTGATTTTTCTTATCTCCTTTGATTTGCGTTTTGGTGCAACTGTATCAACTGTAGCAGCATACAGGAACTATGATTTACAGTCATGGAGAAAAGAAAGTACATTGTTCTTCAATTCTATTTTTTTTTTATTTATCAGGGGCTAAATAACAATTGGGTGGTCCTCACTAACTTCTGTAAACAAACAAACAAACTCAGGTAAAAAAAAAACAGATTTCAATATGTAGTCATTTTTCCCCAAGACTAAACCAACATTCAGAAACCAGGTGGGAAAAAAATAAGTACATCCTTCCTACTTCCAGAATCATTAAGAGAGTAATTAGTAGCCAGCTGTTACTAATGAAATGCACAAGATTAGTTCATCATCAAGAAGTGTGACTACCTCTGTAAAAGCAGAACTTTCGGCAAGCCTTCAAGACAGTAGCCAATCTGCCCAGGAGTGGTCGGCCCAGCAAATTCAGTCCATAGTCAGACTGTTTAATGCTGAGAGATGTAAAGAAAAACCCAAGAGCCACATCATGTGACCTATGGACCTCTGTAAGCACAATAAATGTTTATGACAGCACAATCACTGAACAAGTATGGCTTTCATGGAAGGGTGACCAAGAAAAAGGCCCTTCTCTCCAAAAAGAATATGGAGCACAACTTAGGTTTACAAAATTGCATCTGAACAAACCACAGAAGTTCTGGAGCAATATCCTTTGGACTGATGAGACCAAGGTAGAGATGTTTGATCATCATGCATAGTGCCATGTTTGGTGAAAACCAAGAACCGCATATCACCAGAAACACCTCATACCAACTATCAAGCATGGTGGTGGAGGGGTGATGATTTGGCCTTATTTTGCAGCCACAGGACCTGGGAAACTTGCAGTCATTGAGAAAATGATGAACTCCACTTTATACCAGAATATTCTTGAGAAAAATATCTGAGGCCATCTGTCCAGCAGCTTATGCTGGGCCAAAATCAGGTCACGCAACAGGACAATGATCCCAAGCACACCAACAAATCTACATCTGGATGGAATGGCCAAGTCAAAGTCCAGACCTCAACCCCATTGAGATGCTGTGGTGGGATCTTAAGAGAGCAGTGCATAAATGAATGCCCTCAAACATCAATGAACTGAAGCAATGTTGTAAAGAAGAGTGGGTCTAAAATCAATGACTAAAATCTTTTTTTTTTTTTTTCATTTTATTTTTCCGAAAAAGGAGAATTTTTACACTTTTGTACTTTTGACTAAGGTACATCAAACAACATGGCAAATATTCAGCTTGTTCAGTGTGTTGAGTGCAGGATGTTTAGTCATTCTTCCTCCATCATTAGTAATAGCTTTATTTGTGATAAATGTATGGTAGTTAGGTCTCTGACGGCGAAGACTGCAGCATTAGAGGTGCGCATTCAGACTCTAGAGAGGGTCAGTGAGCGTGAGAGCAGTGTAGTTTCTGTAGGGGAAAGTCTGGATGTCTTAGGCGGAAATAGTAATCCCCCAACTCTGGCATTAGAGCCCTCACAGCAGGGTGAATGGGTGACTACTCGGCAGCATAATTGTAAAGCCAAAGCTAACGCTAAGGCTTGCCCACGGGAGCACCACTCTTCTCTGCTTCACGTATCTAACAGGTTTGCTCTCCTCAGTGAAGCACCCGCTGAGAAACCTGAAAGAGCTCTGGTTATAGGAAACTCTATCTTGTGGCATGTGAAATTAGCTAGGCCTTTAGGGGCACCAGCAGCTTTAGTTAGGTGTATACCGGGAGCCAGGGCGCCGGACATAGCAGGTAATCTTAGGGTCTTAGGCAAGCACAGGTTCTCTCTGTAGTATGCTCTGGCCCCAGAGCATACTACAGAGAGGACTGTTGAATATTAGATCTGTTATGTCTAAAGCACTTATTGTTAATGAAACCATTACTGATCAGGAGTTTGATGTACTGTGTTTAACAGAAACGTGAATTAAACCAAACGAGTATGTAGCATTAAATGAAGCTAGTCGTCCCGGGTACAGTTACATATATCAGCCCCGTCTAACTGACAGAGGACGAGGTGTCGTAGTCATTTATAATGATAATCTAGGCATCACACAAAAACCTAGTCATAAATTCAACACATTTGAAGTTCTTTATACTAACATAACATACGTAGCCACTAAAAATATGTCAGGACCAGGGTTCGAACCCGGGTCTCCGGTGTGAGGGACGGACGTTTTACCGTTGAGCCACAGGGAGGCGGTAAACCCACGATGCAAACCCCAAGGTAGTGCACAAGAATATTTATTAAAAAGTCAAGAAAATTACACAAGGGCAAAAACGGGGAGAAACAATAAGGTAATGGATCTCAAAAACGAAGACGAGGCAGGGGAACATGACACAACAAAAAACACAGAAAAAGGACCAAAACTCTGACAGGACCCCCCCCAGGAATGGCTCCTGACGTTCCTTCCCGAAGACCCGGGCCGGCGCGCATTAAAGTCCCGAATGAGCCCAGGGTCCAGGATGTCCCGGGCCGGGACCCAGGAGCGTTCCTCAGGGCCATAGCCTTCCCAGTCCACGAGATACTGCCGGGAGCCCCGTACTAGCCGGACATCCAGGATTCAGTGGACTGTGTAGGCAGGCTGGCCGTCGATGATGCGCGGAGGGGGCGGTTTACCTGGCAAAGAGAAGGGAGAGGACAAAACAGGTTTCAACAAAGACACATGGAATGTGGGGTTAATTCTCAATGACCTAGGGAGAAACAACTTATAAGTGACGGAATTGACTTTCCTGGCAATCCTGAAGGGTCCGATGAACCTCTGGGCCAACTTGCGGGACTCCACCCGCAAGGGAAGGTTCTTGGTGGAGAGCCAGACTCGTTGACCGGGGCGCAGTGTAGGGGCCGGTCTACGTCGTCGGTTCGCCTGCTGTTGGTACTGCTGCGAGGTTCTCAGGAGCTTAAGTCTGGCCTTCCTCCAGGTTTGGCGGCAGCGCTTGACGAACTGTTGAGCGGAGGGAACAGCCGTCTCCACTTCTTGCTCCGGGAACAGTGGAGGAGCATACCCAAACTGGCACTCAAAAGGGGACATGCCTGTGGCTGAGAAGCGGAGAGTGTTGTGCGCGTATTCCGCCCACATGATGAAGGTGGACCAGGAGGACGGGTTGTTGGCAGCCATACACCTCAGGGTGGTCTCGAGATCCTGGTTGATTCTCTCCGTCTGACCGTTGGACTCGGGATGGAACCCGGATGATAGGCTCACAGAGGCCCCCAGAGACTCACAGAAGGCCCGCCAGAATCACGAGGAGAATTGGGGTCCCCGATCAGAGATGATGTTCCGTGGTATGCCAAAGGTGCGGAAAACATGAGTGACGATAAGCTCTGCTGTTTCTTTGGCTGTGGGTAGTTTGGGCAAGGGGATGAACTTGACGGCCTTGGAAAACCGGTCAACAATGACCATGACGCTGGTGTTACCGTGGGACAGTGGAAGCCCGGTAATGAAGTCCATGGACAGGTGGGACCAGGGTCTATGAGGGACGGGAAGAGGCTGCAGGAGACCCTGGGGAGACTGGTGCGTAGTTTTGCTCTGGTTGCATACAGGACAGGCCCTGACACAGGTGGTGACGTCCTCCTTGATGGTAGGCCACCAAAATCGCCTCTGGAGGAACTCGAGAGTACGCGAGGGACCCGGGTGACATGAGAAATGGGAGGAATGCCCCCACTGAAGAACCGGGGATTGAACAGCCTTGGGTACATACAAGCAGTTGGTCGGGCCGCTTCCTGGGTCGGGTTCTCTGGCTTGGGCTTGTCTCACAGTGTCCTCAGGTTTCCACCTGACAGGAGCTACTATTTTTGAGCTCAGGATGATAGGGAGGACTTTATCCTCTCGCGACGTGCTTGCGTAGACACGGGACAGTGAATCTGGCTTAAGGTTCTTGGAACCAGGACGGTAAGACAGGACAAAGTGAAATCTGTTGAAGAACAGTGACCAACGCGCCTGTCGGGGATTGAGCCGCTTGGCTTGTTGGATGTACTCGAGATTTTTGTGGTCCGTGAGTACTTGGAACGGGTGTTTAGCGCCCTCGAGCCAATGCCTCCACTCCTCCAGTGCTGACTTAACAGCCAGAAGCTCTCGATCACCCACATGGTAGTTTCTCTCAGTCGGGGTAAGACGGTGGGAAAAGAAGGCGCAGG